GGAATGCTTATAAATCTCCATAAAGTTGCATATTGTCAGTTTGTTGTTGATATTTTAGACAAGTTTCACCTGATATACTCAGCTTTTAGTTTCCATACTTGAGGCAATCAGCATCTAGCATATGGTATATAAGACACAAAATTAAGCAGGGCTCAGATTCAAGAGCAAGGCAGCTGGTAGATTTGACAGTTCTTTTCCAAATTACTCATCATTCTTTGAGTTGCTGCTAGGAAAAAATGTGTTGCCCATCTCCAAAATAAATGTTCTTTTTTATTTTTAAGCTTGGGAAACGCTTCCAATAGAAAACAAGACAGATGGGTATAGGAAGCAAGATATTTATCCCCATTTAGATCATTTTCTTCTGTCAGTTCCTTCATCAGAAGTTTTCCAAATAAACAAATGAATGCTTTAATTTTCATATGTAACTATGTCCTAGGATGTACTTTTGATTTTCATATAAAGAATGCTTTTGGAATAGTGAAAGTCAAAACAACAGGAAATGCTGGGGAATTTTTCATTGTTAAAGTGACATTTGTCTGGATTTTGTGATAACCAGTAAATATGGATGTTGGATTAAAGGACTGGTCTTGAAATATTGGTAACATTGAAGATTAAATCTGGAGAATATTTTCCTTTATTGGAAAGGAAATGATTGTCTGCTTTCAGTAATATTTCCAACACTATGGCTTATTTAAATATAGATTTGTTCCTAGAATCTCATTAGTATAGGTCTGAAGGCTTTTATTCCAACTATGAAATACACAGAGCTACATGTTCTTTTACTCTAGTACAGCTCATAAGAATCATGGACAAAACTTCCATTGGGGGTTTATAATGATTTCCAAATGAGACTCTCCACTCAGACTACCTGGAAGATTCATCTGGTATGCAATGCAGTGGTAAGATTCTGGTTCTACCAGTATTCTAAAACCTGCAAGACTTCTAATTTTCAATTGAAAACTTTAAACAGGGACTACTTTCTGAATTTTCTCTAAACTCCATAGCATGGGACATATTTCTTCACCTAGTTTATATTGTAATTAGAATATTAGAATTCTAATATTGTAATTCAAACTTGTTTTCTCCCCTTTCTGTGATCTCTCTCTATGTAGACCATTATGCTAAACTCCCTATGAGTTTCTAAGATGGAAACTTGCCTTTTTCCTAGTAGCAAATGATAAAATATGAATAATAATGTGGGGTTTTATTATTTGAATTTTTAATTGATTATTTGAATTTTCACCTTGTGACCCACATTAAATAAATACACACACACACAAACAGATCTTGAATAAATTGATATAACAAGTTGGTGTGAAGAAAAAAACAGGCTAATTTTCTCATTATCAACCCTTCTATGGTGATCCAATAAAAGCATATGCCACTTTCCATTTCCAAAATTAATAGTAGCTGTCAAGTTGAAAGTATAGTTCTTCATATTTCTGATCATTGTCATAAGTCATTTGAGATAGATTTATGAAATGACAGACTTTCCCAGAGTAAAGTACAATGTGTCAAGAAGCTATTCTTTAGTTCTAGTCCAATGGGAATTTAAGAAATCATTTCAATCAGGAATAAAAAATAGAAAAAAAAAAAATTTGAAATGTCACGTAGGTGGCAGATACATCTCAATACTCTGTGTGCATTACATTTTCTAATCAATGGACATTTTTCTTTATAATTTTTAAATATATTAGAAGTTGCTAACTGTGGTAGCATAGTGCCTAAGACGCTTGACTGCTAACCAGAAGGCTGGCAGTTCAAACCCACCAGCCACTCCTTGGAAGGAAGGCTGGGCAATCTACTTCTGTAGTGATACCGCCTTGGAAACTGGGTCTGACTCAATGGCACATACCAACAACAACATATTGTTCTATGTTCTGGGAACTTATAAAATAATATATATCAGCATAAAGTTTCTATATAAAAAAATCTATAATTTAAATGAGATTTTTTTCCAGTTCATTTGAAAAGGCAAGATTATATATTTGCATTTGATGAAAATGCTAAATCAAATTACACTTTGAGATAGCTAATGTCAACCTCTTTATTGGAAATTGTACTTTTTTGTTTTTAGATTTTACATATATGTTGTTGTTGTTCTGTGCCGTGGAGTCGGACTCAACTCATAGCGACCCCTCCTTGGGTTTGCGAGGCAATATCATTACGGAAGTAGATTGCCCCATCTTCCTTCGGAGGAGTGGCTGGTGGGTTTGAACTGCCAGCCTTCTGGTTAGCAGTCAAGTGCCTTAGGCACTACACTACCAGAGCTCGCTCTGTCTCTCCATATATATATATATATATTTATATATATTTTAAATATATATATCTCGGAAGGAAGGTTGGGCAATCCTACTTGCGTAGTGATACTGCCTCGGAAACCCAAGGAGGGGTCGCTGTGAGTCGGGGCCGACTCGACGGCACATAACAACAACAACAACAATTTATATATATAAATGATACTTTAAGATCTGAAAATCACTTCAGATGAAGTTGTTTTTTATTGCTTAATCATGAAGAATTCCAAAAAATGCATCAGAATGTTATATATCCTCTTGTTTAATAGCACTTATATTTATATTATATATATATATTTTCTTATTTAACACATAAATGACTCAGTCTCTGGACCTTTCACAGATGTTGAATAAACTGGTATAACAAGTTGATGTGAAGAAAGTCTAGAGTGTGTTCAAAAAACCTACTATCAGCTCTCTCTGTTTTTCCTTTATTATCATATTCTTTCTCATTCTCTTAATTTTAGATGTCATATCATAGCCACATAAAATTATTTTTAATAGAAATTTTTACAAATACAAGAAAATGAGGCTGAAAATTATAACATATTTCTAAATTTTCTAATACCATCAGTTATAAAAAAGCACCATTAATTTAATAAAATAGTTCATGTTCAAATTAACTGTATGCTGTAATTATTTTTCTGGTATATTAAAATTTTAAATAAAATTTACAGGAATTGTTAAATAATATTGATATAGAAATCATTTTTCACACATATCATCAATAAACTCTATTCACTCCCACAACAGCTTTGATAAGGCAATATTATTATTTCCCTTTTATAGATGAGATGACTTAAAATCAGAGTTATTACAAAACTAATCAAAGAGAGTACTGCTCAGAAATGGTAGAATTGAGATTCAAATTGAGAAAACAAAGTTCTATTTATCATTTTGTTATTTGTGTAGGAACATACTGTTATTGTTGAACATACTATATATTAATAAAGTCTGTGAATGTTTCAACCAAAGGAAAAAAAAAGTTATGAGTTTGGACAAATATACATCGAAGTTAACAGTGTCAAGCGAGTATATCAAGGGTGCTTTTGAAGATGGATAACTTTTTTTTTTTAAATTGTGATTTGTGTGAAAGTTTACAGAGCACATTGGTATTCCATTAACAGTCTATACACATTCTGTTTTGTGACATTAACTGCAATCTCCACACAGCAACAGCATGCTTACTACTTCCTTCCTACACTTATACCTTCCCTTCATTCTTCCTTCCAAGCTTCCCCTTCCTAGCTCTATCCCTGGGCAAATGCTGTCCTCTTGATCTCATATGTTTTATTGCTGTACTGAATGCATACCTTCCTATATTACTGTTCACCATATAGGTCTGTCTCTCTTTGCTGCCAGGTGAGTCATGGGGGTTAAGTTCAGTTCCTAGCTTGAAGGATGTCTAAGGGCTATGGTCTCAGGGGCTTTAGCAGCCTTCACCAGACCAGTAAGCCAGGTCTTTTTTCATGATTTTGAGTTCTGTTCCACATGTTCTCCAACTCTATCTGGGACCTCTTATTGTGATCCCTTTCAGAGCAGTCAGCTGTGGTAGCCAGGCACCATATGGTTCTTCTGGTCTCAGGGTCGTGGAGGCTGGGGTTCATGTGCTCCATTAGTCCTTTGGACTAATTGTTTCCTGCATCTTTGATTTTCTTCATTCTTCTTTGCTCCAGACAGGGAGAGACCAATAATTGCACCTTAAGACTGCTCACAAGCTGTTAAGACCCCATTCGCTATTCATCAATGTTGGACATAGAAGATTGTCTTTGTGGACTATGTTATGACAATTCAATTTACTGTCCCCTAAGACTATTGTTCTGAGCCTGGATAGACAATTTTTAAAGCTGTGTAAAATTGAATAAATTATTAAAGTATCTCTCGGTATATTAAATAAGCAATTAACAAAATCCGTTCTTTCATCCATCTATCCATTTATTAATTTATTTGTAAGATATTTACCAAAGGGTCTATTATTTAAATACATTTGTAGCTAAACCTTAAAAGAGATGCAAAATGGTTATTAAATCAATGAAATTTGAAAAGATTTTATATTCTAAATGTTTACAAATAAGGTATCAGTTATATTTCTGCAAGCACAAGTTTTCAACTTAACTGTGCAAAGCCAAAAGAAGGATGAGAAATACAAAAACCACAAACTTTTCATGCCAAAGAACATAGCTCATTCCTCCCCTGCCCCTCTTGGTATAAGCATCTACCTCCAATAACCTAGAGCATTCTCTTTAATTTTTAAAAAGTAGGCATGCAGATAAAAATGACCCTAGCAAGCTGGAACTCAGAGCAGCTTAGATTCAAAGAAGCACATGAGTAATAGAAATTTTATTTCTTAAATTAGTCATGTTAACTAATTTCAAACATAAATAACTGATTATTCTATAAATACAAGAAAAAAGGAAGTATTATATTTGCCTTCTTAAGAAAATTAGCAGTATAGAATATTAATCATTAACATATTCTTTTACATTAAAAATGTTACCTATTCATTACTAAGTAGCAAGAGTAACTACAAATGGTTTATCAAAGTGATGAAAAGATCGGAAGTAACTTTCATGGAAGAGAGTCTCTCGAGTAATACTTTAAAATCAGTGAATAAATATATTTCATTCTGTCAAATCCTGCAATGCATGAGTTATGAAGCATTGTACAAAGCCATGCTAAGTGGATAGAAGGATGGCTACTTACCAACGGGGCGAGCTGTAGACATTACAATGGTGTGGTGAGAACATAAAAAGAAATTAAAAGAAAAAGAAAATTATCAGAATGCATGATGAGTAATGTTACATTTAAGTATGGACAGTAGAATGATTTCTAGTCTTACAAATTCAAATATGAGTAGGATGTCTGGGTTTGATAAACTGAAACTTCTAAACACAATTCTAAGAAATAGTTATTTAGTATCCTGGGACTGACCATAAGCAATTTGAGAGATATTTAAGAAAGTATCATCATCTTCACTTACTGTAGTTATTATTTCAAAGACCTATTTAGGGTTCAATAGCTTTGTATTACCTGTAAATTAAGAATCTGATGAATGTTACTATTCAAGTCACAGACTAGCAAATGCCATGTCAATAAAAGAAGCCCTCACTGTCTGATTTAAATAGCAATTGGATTTTAAGCATGGTTAGTCAGAACCATTACAAGGACTACAGAAAAGCCCCTGACACGGCCTTTCAGGCAGTAATAGGTTAAGATCACATCACTTTTCATCTGTGGATAGTGTGGATGAAAATATAACAAATAGGTTAGAACATCCTTAGAGATTTCAACTCAGTCACTCCCTAACTACTGTTAAGCTTTTCCTTTTTGGGCAGAGGGCAGAGGAGGGAAGAAAACATTGATTGACAAGTTGATTCTTGTTCCTACTGAGAATGGTATTAAACTGCTGCTTCAACAAATTATTATTATTTTTTATTATACCACAACTTTCAATCACTAAAACTGGTAGTAATAAGCTGTGCCTATTATTAAAGCACAGAAATTGTAAGAGACATTCATGGCCTTAATAATATTTTTAAAAAAGAGTAATTCCAACTCAATTTAGATAGTAAGCCATCTGATATAAAAGCAATATAAAAGTAATGGCAAATACTATAAAACATATGGTCTCATTTATCAAAATGGAAAATAAATATATTTAGTAGTATTTAAACATTCATAAAACTTTACATTCCAAAACATAAATTTATTTGAAAATATGTCTTTTCACTCATATTCCAGTGGACAGAAGTCTATTGCATATATATATAATATGACTCCAGAACTCATGGGTAGTTTTGTGTTGATGATGGCTCTTTGGACATGATGACATATATATAGCCATTAAAAACATATGTATAAGCATTCATTCACTGAATAAATAAATAATATTACTAGCTTTGTGCAATCTCTAAAAATAATACTGCAGTTGCTTTTATATGAGATTCATGGCTTTAGAATATTATTCACAATTTAGAGGAGAGGATTAAGATAATCCAAAGGCAGTTATAGTAGCAGTATCAAAACTCTGTGTTAGTGATACTCTAGTGTGTCCTACAATAAATGGTGAGTTTACTAGAGCAAAAGAAAAGGGGAGGGAATAAGATACTGAATGTACAACAATTTCCCTCCTTTGGGGAGGAGGGCACAAAAATAACAACCTAGAACAAAGCAATTTAGCTAATAACATAAATTTGTGCCATAATTCTGATGAGATTTCTCTTAATTTTGCCAATAGCCAGGAGAGTAAGAACTCTGTCTTTCATCTTTGTATATGTGCATTTTCAGCTGAAACCTCAAGAAGAGTTTCAAAAATGTCTTTTTCAGAGGGGGAAGCATTTTGATGTTAAAAAGCCATGGTTAAAAATAATGCTTTAAAAAGGAATTCTATTTTTTCTTTCACTTATTTTGGATAATTCGAAAAAATTAAATCTTTTTTACTCTAGAAGTAAAGCAGTTTTTCCAATGTTTTTTAATTATGCAAAATCAACCTAACTAATTGTAAAATGCAGGGATGGGGGGGTGGAGGGTGGGAAGGGCCACTGTTTGTGCAATTATGTAGTTTGCATTGCTTAACTAATTTTGTGGCCATTAAAAAATTATTGATTAGAACATGATTTGATTAAATATAAATTCTAGGAGGCTTATTGTTGGTTAGCATTCTTTATGGGAGCTCTGGTGGCACAGTGCTTAAAGCATTTGACTGCTAACCAGAAGGCTGGAGGTTCAAACCCACCAACCACTCCTTAAAAGAATGGTTGGGGAATCTAGTTCCATAGTGATACAGCCTCAGAAACCCAAGGAGTTGTCTCTGTGAGTTGGATCTGACTCCACAGCAGTGCGCTGCGTTTGTTGCATTCTTTGTACTTTCACTTTTATTAAGTCAGCAAAGTGTACCTACTTGCTATTAGCTTTTATTTTATAGCCTTTTTTATAATCATATTTTTGAAAAGGAAAAACATCTTAATAGATTCCTATGTTAGATTTTGAGTATAAAATTCCATTACCTTTTCCCCAATTGGCTAAAGTGAATACCATGCTATTTTGCGAGCTCTGGTAGCATAGTGCCTAAAGCACTTGACTGCTAACCAGAAGGCTGCTGGTTCAAACCCACCAGCCACTCCTGGGAAGGACGATGAGGTAATCTACTTCTGTAGTGATACTGCCTCAGAAACCCAAGGAGGGGTCGCTATGCGTCAGCCGACTGGACGGCACATAACAACAACAAAAACGATATTTTAACAGAAGCATCACAACAAAATTTCTTGTTTTTGCTAAATAGCAACATTTCTTCCTTGAAACAAAAATGAGCAGGCAGATGCTTTCAAAAGTCAGCAAATTAAATGAAACTCTGCATTAAATGGTTGAAAATGGAAGGGGCCCCTGTTCAGTTGACCCTGTTCTAATAAAACATTCAGAGAAGGGCTGAACATTTCATTTATGTGTGTGGAAAAATGAGCACAGAAAAAAATAAAAATCACAGATAACTTTTTTTTCTGTTAACTTCTTAGCATGAGAAATCCCAACTGCTTTTGTTGACTATTAAAAATATTTTAAACAGTATTTTACTTCACACTATGTTGCATTATAGAGTTGTCTTGTTTTTGTTTTCTTTAACCCTGAATTTGAGATTTCACTCTGAGATGAGGGATAATTATATACCACGCTGACTGAACTCTAATCCACTCACAGGACACAGATTAGAGGAGAGGCAATTTAATGTTTCTGATTTAAAAAATCCTATTAAAAATAAACAACTTTCTCTATTAATTTTGTAAGCTGGGTTCAAACATCCATGCTTGAGGAACATGCTTTGTTAAATGAAATGTTAAACCTGAAACTTTTAGCAAATGATGAAAACAATTAGCTGGATAAGAACTTAAACAGAACACTTCAAGTCTCATTCATCGAAGCATTCATGTATAAAAGGAACCTGCTGCTTCTACAAGAAAACAGCTCCTCACATTTTCTCACCATTTGTTTAGTCAGCAAATATTTTTTTAAATGGAGTATTTCTTGGTCAGGTTTTTTTTTTTTTTTTTCCCCATTGACTTCAGAAAATTAAATAAACTTTGGGGATAATTTGGTCAAGTAAACTGTTTTTGCAAAGAGCTGTCCAGTTAAAAACTATATATATAGATATATATAGAGAGAGAGAGAGAGAGAGAGAGAGAGAGAGAGATGTTGTTCAAACCCACCAGCCACTCCTCGGAAGGAAGGTTGGGCAATCTACTTCCGTAGTGATACTGCCTCGGAAACCCAAGGCGGGGTCGCTATGAGTCGGTTCTGACTCGATGGCACATAACAACATATATATAAAATCATCACTTAGAGAAAGTGTGCGTTAAATATAGTAGACTGTTCCCTGGCTTACACAGGCTATCAGCTTTTTAATCATAATTATCGGAATGTATAAGGAGCGCTGGTGGCATAGTGCCTAAGGCACTACCAGAAGGTGAGCGGTTCAAACCCACGGAAGGAAGACTGGGCAATCTACTTCCATAAAGGTTTACCGCTTCAGAAACCCAGAGGGGTCACTATGAGTTCAGAATCGATTGGAAGCAGTGATTTTTTGTTTTGTTTTATTTTTTTATCACAATATGTATAGTTACATAATTATATTATTGCTATGTGATCATAGTCCTTTATGAACTTTGATGAATAGTAAATAAACATGTTTTTTAAGCAACTGGCTTGTTAATTTTGTCCAAATATGCTTTGTATCTAAGCTCACACCAGAATGTCAGAAGTGAAAAAAATGGATTAAGTGGACCAAGAATTGAGCTACTTAGAAGTAAGAAAAGTGCCAATAATTATCCAGGTATCCGATGTGCCTGTCTCCTAATAGTTGCATAGAGGAAAATTAGTTTTTTTTTTTTTTTTTAATTATTCAAAGTCCACATTGTCGATCTAGCAAAAAGCAAACAGACAAAACAATTTTTTCACTAGAAAAAATACCAGCCTGAGGATACTGGACACATTTCTTGTAATTGTTGTATGCCTCTAATCCCTTCTAATCTGATGAAATCTTCTGGAAGTAAAACTGCAGAAGGGTAAGAAGTATGACAACTAGGGTGAAATACAACTGAGACTGGGATTAAAGTATGCAACCAATGTCCTTATCATTAAGGACACTAGGAGGATGGGGTATAACTGAGATCAAGATTAAAGTGTGCAACCAACCTCCTTATGATTAAGAGTGCTAAGAGGAGGCATCAGTTAAGATAGTAGAAGGAAGGGTGAAACACTGAGCAGGGGGGTGTGCTTGTCTATCTTTGCTAGACATCGTGGGGTGTAAATGATGCTGTGGATAATGTCTATTTGGCACGAGTTAAGTAGACCTACCTGCATGGTACTACCTGGTACCTTGGACTATTTAATTTACTTCATGTAGATGAGTATGTTTCACCACTAAGGCAGTTAATTCATTCTAGCACACTCTGTGGATAAGCTCCATAGATATGCTTTCTTTTATTTACAAACAATTCCAGTGAGTCTATAGATGAACATTATTTCATAACTGAGAAACTGCATGACACCCAGAAAATGAAAGTTACTACAAGTGCAGTACTGACTACTTCAATTATTTAAGGTCAATGAACTTCACAAATCACTCTCTCAGTCAAATATTCTCAGTGTTGGAGCACCTGTGTTTCCAATTTTCACCTTTGGAAGTAATGCTAGTTTTTTTTTCAAATTGCTTTTTTGAATGCTGAAATAAAAAACAAAAAATAAATATTTCAAAACAATACTAGTATAAAGTGACAAACTTGGGAATAGAAAATTTAGAGTAACTTTGAAACTGGTAACATTTAAAAGCAGTAAGTAGTTGACAGCAATGTGAGTATTAAAAAATTAGTGTAAATAAATTGTTTTTTAGGATTTGTTTTAAACCATGTAAACTATTTATTTTAAACCACATAGATATTACTTATTAAATAAAAAATAATCTGTTCTCATCAATGTCTCTTCTAATCCAAATTTGAGAGTAACTTTTTTGCAATTGATGATAGAGAGGTCACAGAATCTAAGTTTTTAATATGATAATAAAACTGTGACAGCTGTTATTTTGATAGTGAGTTCACTTACCAATGTAACCAAATATTCGTCATCTGGTTCACTTATTTTTGACATCTTAAATCACTTACCTCTGACTGTGAGAGTAGCTGAGGCTTCCACTTTTCCAACCCGATTCTCGGCAATACACATATATGTGCCTTCATCTGTACTCATAGCCTTTTTAATTCTTAGGGTGTAATCATCTTTGATGTCATATCTGTATAGAAAATAATTGGTTTTGTTAAATATTGTTGGTTATATTTAATTAATAATACTAAATATTGTTCTTTAGTTATCTTTATTGATACTAGTTTTAAAAAAAAAAAAAAATCAAACAAATACATGCATCATACATAAAATATCCAGTCATAAACTGCTGATGGTATGTTCATTTAAGGTATTTTTAATAATATCATTAATTTCACATCTTAACTCTAAGGATCTGATTTTTACTTATTTATATTTGATGTATATATGATGCTTGTTGCTTCAAAACTGCTAAAGGCATTATTAGTACTATCTTTGATAGTTCTTAACTAGGAAAATAGCATACATTGTAGTTTCTTGGTGAGGTTTATTCCATATTTTCAAAGTTACACTGTGTTCAAAATTATTTTGTAAGGCAGTTGAGTATAAGAAATGAAATACATTAAAGGAGAAACTATTTGGTTAAAATAATTAAGAGGGGATAATGATTTTTTTAAAAAAATTAGCAATATTAACTCTGTTGTTCAGTGCCGTCAAGTAGGTTCCGACTCACAGCAACCCTATGTACAACAGAACAAAACACTGTCTAGTCCTGTGCCATACTCACAATATTTGCTCTGCTTGAGCCAATCTTTGCAGCCACTGTGCCAATCCATCTCATTGAGGGTCTTCCCTGTTTTCTCTGACCTTTGACTTTACCAAGCATGATATCCTTCTCCAGGGAATGATCCCTCCGAACAACATGACCAAAGTAGGTGAGACAAAATCTGGGAATTCTTGTTTCCAGTGAGCATTCTGGGTCTACTTCTTCCAGGACAGATTTCTTCATTCTTCTGGCTATCCATGGTAGTTTTCAGTATTCTTCCCTAACACTGACTGTGACTCAAAAGCATCAACTCTTTTTGAATCTTCCTTAAGCATTGTCCAGCTTTCATACACATATGAAGCAACTGAAAACACCATGGCTTGGGTTAGGCCCACTTTAGTATTCAGAGTGACATCTTTGCTTCTTAACACTTTAAAAAAAGTTTTTCACAGATTTGCCCAGTGCAATATGAATTCTGATTTCTTGACCACTGCTTCCTTGGGTGTTGATTGTGGATCCAAGTGAAATGAAATCCCTGACAAAGTCAATCTTTTCTCCACTTATTGTGATGTTGCTTACTGGCCCAGTTGTGAGATTTTTGTTTCCTTCATGTTGAGATGTAATCCATACTCAAGACAATAGTCTCTGATCTTCATCATTAAGTGGTTCAAGTCCTCTTCACTTTCAGCAAGCAAGGTTGTGTCATCTGCATATTACAGGTTGTTAATGGGTCTTCCTCCAATCCTTTTGCTGCATTCTTCTTCATACAGTCCAGCTTCTTGGATTATGTGTTCAACATAAAGATTGAATAAGTATGGTGAAAATATACAACCCTGACACACAGCTTTCCTGATTTTAAACCATGTAGTATCCCCTTGTTCTGTTTGAATGACAGCCTCAGGTTCCTCATGAGCACAATTAAGTGTTCTGGAATTCTCATTCTTCTCAATGTTATCCATATTTGGTTATGATCCACACACTTGAACATTTTTGCATAGTCAATAAAACACAAGTAAACATCTTTCTGTTTTTCTTTCCTTTCTGCCAAGATATATCATCAGCAATGATAACCCTCGATCCACATCCTCTTCTGAATCCAGCTTAAATTTCTGGAAATTCCCTGTGAATATGTTGCTGCAACTGTTTTTGAATTATCTTCAGCAAAACTGTACTTACGTGCAATATAAATGATATGGTTTGACAATTTCCACATTCTGTTGGATAACCTTTCCTCAGAATGGGCACAAATATGGATCTCTTCTGGGAAGCTGTCTTCCAAATCCCTTGGTATAAATGAATAATTGCCTTCAGCACTGCATGTTTCTCGAAACATCTCAGTGGGTATTTGTCAATTCCTTCAGTGCAGCTTGGATTTCTTCCTTCATTACCATTAATTCTTGATCATATCTTTTCTCTGGAAACAGCTGAACATCATCCAATTCTTTTTGATAGTGATTCATGTATTCTTTCAATCTTCTTTTGATACATCCTGCATTATTCAATATTTTGTCCATGAAACCAAAAATAATAAACTCACTCTTATTGAGTTAATTCAGACACCTACCATTGCACATCTGTTTTCTAAGGCTATAAATCTTTATAGAAGCAGACTGTATCATCTTCCTTCCATGGAGGGGCTAGTGGGTTTGAACCACTGACCTTTTGGTTATCAACTAAATGCCTTAACCTCTACACCACCAGAGCTCCTTATTTTACCCATAGAATACTTCAATATTGCAACTCGAGGCTTGAATTTTTCTTCAGTTCTTCCAGTTCGGGAAATGCTGAATGTGTTCTTCTCTTTTGGTTTTCTAACTCCACATCTTTGCACATTTCATTATACTTTACTTAATCTTCTCTATCCACCCTTTGATATCTTCTATTCAGCTCTCTCGTGTTATCACTTTTTCCATTCACTTTAGCTATTCTACACTCAAGAGCAAGTTTCAGAGTCTCTTCTGACATCCATTTTGGCCTCTTCTTTTTTCCTGTCTTTTTAATGACCATTTGTTTTCTTCATGTATGATGTTCTTGATGTCATCACACAACTCGTCTTGTCTTCAGTTTCTGGTGTTCAAAGCATCAAATCTATTCTTCACATGGTCTCTAAATTTGGGTGGGATATAATCAAAGTAATATTTTGACTCTTGTGGATTTGTTTTAATTTTCTTCAACTTCATCTTGAACTTGTATATAAGCAATTGATGGTCTGTTCCACAGTCAGCTCCTGGCCATGTTTTTGACTGAAAATATTGAGCTCCTTCATTGACTATGCTCCACAGCTGTAGTCGATGACTTCCTGTGTATTCTATCTGGTGAGGTCCATGTGGATAGTCAACTTTTATGTTGTTGGAGGAAGGTACTTGCAATGAATAATTTGTTTGTCTTTTAAATTCTATCATGTGATTTCATTTCTATCACCAAGGCCATATATTCCAACTACCAGTGATTCTTCTTTGTTTCCAACTTTTGCAAAAATGGATACATCTTGATTGCATGTTTGATAAATTTCAGACTGCAGAAGTTGATAAAAATCTTCAATTTATTTATCTTTGGCATTAGTGGTTGGTGTGTAAATTTGAATGTTGTTGTTGTTGTTATGTTCCATTGAGTCAGACCCAACTCATGGCAACCCCTCCTTGGGTTTCCAAGGCAATATCACTATGGAAGTAGATTGCCCAAACTTCTTTCCAAGGAGTGGCTAGTGGGTTTGAACTTCCAGCCTTCTGGTTAGCAGTCAAGTGCCTTAGGCACTATGCTACCAGAGCTCCCACAAATTTGAATAGTAGTAGTATTAACTGGTCTTCCTTTTAGGTATATGGATATTATCCCGTCACTGACAACATTGTACTTCAAGATAGATCTGGAAATGTTCTTTTTGACAATGAAAGTGATGCCATTCCTCTTCAATTTGTTGTTACTGGAATAGTAGATCATATGATTGTCTGATTTAAAATGGCCAATAACAGTCTTTCAGCTCACTAATGGATCCGTATGCATTCCATTTCATTTTTGCAACTTCCAATTTTCCTAGATTCATATTTTGTACATTCTTGTTCTGGTCATTAATGGATATTTGAAGCTGTTTCTTCCTATTTTGTGCTGTGCCCCATCAGCAAATGAAAGTCCTGAGAGCTTTACTCAATCCACACCATTAAAATCAACTCTATTTTGAGTAAGCAGGTCTTCCCTAGTCATATTTTGAGTGCCTTCTAATCTGAGGGGCTCATCTTCTAGCACTGTATCAGACGATGTTTCATATTCATACTCTTTATGAATATTAACTCTACAATCATCAATGCCTTTGAGTAATTTTTGGACATACACATTTTCACCTCTTTCACATGGTTTCATTTTGAAACCAGTGGATCAATGGACTAGATCAGAAAAATCTCTATGTTAACTTGTTAACTTTTTTTTTTTGGTATTTGGATAAGAATGTGTGTTTACTAGATTTTAAACAAGTAATAATTACACAGAATAATGAAAGTATATTAATTTCAATCTTTATGTAGTTGATCTTTCCTCTCAATTCTCAATGCTACCTAAGGAGCTCTGGTAGCGTAGTGGCTAAGGCACTTGACTGCTAACCAGGAGGCTGGCAGTTCAAACCCACCAGCCACTCCTCGGAAGGAAGATAAGGCAATCTACTTCCATAGTGATACTGCCTAGGAAACCCAAGGAGGGGTCGCTATGAGTCGGGTCTGACTCGACGGCACATAACAACAACAACAACAACAACACCTAACTCTAGTTCTTATTTCAAACACAGATTTTTGTGAAAGCTGGATTGTTTACATCTTCCTCTAACATGCAACAGCTATATGCACATCCCCCAAATATTACTTTAATGGACTGTATATGTTTAAAAATGAGCTGTGACTCTCTATTGCTTTCAGGACAAAAATAAAGTTTTTAAGTTTGCAATTGTCTACTATATAAGGCTGCTTCTTTTATTTGTAGCTTTATATAAAAGAGTGATAGAGCTTAATTTTGTTCAAGGCTAAGACATATACCAAATATTAGTAATGTTTTATAGATTTTTGAATAACAAAAATCAATACGTATGAAATATTACAACTAGACTTCACCCATGTTCTTCTATACTCTAATTATGAAGGTTTCTTTTCTGTCTACATGTTTTAGGTTATATTTTTGAGAACTGAGAATGTCCTAAGAAGTTAGAAATGCCTTATCAGCCACTCTTGTTTGAATTTCATTATTATCCCAGAAAAATATGACACTGCCTTGAAACTTATTACTATATCAATCATTCTTTGCTTCCTTAAGTTTTGAATTGCTGTCAATTTTTATAAAGGATGTACTTCTGGCTGCATCACTCACTGGTGCGCCTGCAGGCTCCAAACCAGATTTTCACACCAGCACAATAACTAAGTAGTGAAGAGCACAGACTCAAGAACCAA